TTAAGCTTTTTCTTTTTTCACTTTCGGTCTCACTCTGTTACCCAGACTGGAGTGCAGTGACACAAACACAGCTGACTGAAGCCTTGACCTCCTGGGCTCAAGCAATCCTCCCACCTCAGCCTCCCAAGTAGCTAGAGCTGCAGGTGTACACCATCATGCGCAGCTAATTTTTAAAAAATCATTTTGTAGAGACAGGGTCTTGCTATGTTGCATAGGCTGGTCTCGAACTCCTGAGCTCACGCAATCCTCCCACCTCAGCCTCCTAAATCGTTGAGATTATAGTAGTCAGCCATCACACCTGGCCTATAATTAAGTTTTAATGTTATAGTATATCCACGCATGTGGATTAAGACTGAAGTAGAAATTAACAAAACCCCAAAATAATCATAGATACTGATTGAGCTTTGAGTATTCTCCATTTTTATGTAGACAGTGTGTCTTTATTTACATGAATTATAGTGCATCATGTTAAATGGAAACATGATATTCTTCTTGTGGTTAGAAGCCACAAGGTAAAAGTATTTGTATGGATGCTGAGTATCCAGAGTGGACTGTGCTAGAAGTCAATGTGACCCTGCTCTTCTAAGCTATCCCCTGGGCCACGAGCTTGGAAGCCTGAAAACTGCATTTCCCAGACTCCCCTACTAGCACAGATCAAGTGTAGTTTCTGCAAATGGGAGGAACTTGCACACAATTTGGAAGGCATAAGGAAAGGAAAAGCAATTTTTCTTGTGTGATTGTGGTATAATACATACATATTTTGATCTTTGTCCTATTTCCTGGCATACTGCTCCTAAAACTCTTGGAATTTCTAAAGTGACATGTGTCTTTTTGTAAAGTAATAAGAAGACTGATGTCTGGGAGGTGGAGAGACTCTTGGGTAGCCTCAGGATGTGGGCAGGTTGCCAGGGGTACCACTATATGATTAGAGCTTTGGAACTTTCAGCCTCACCCAGACTTCCCAGGAGGGAAGAAGGACTCAAGGTTGAGTTAATCACTAATAGTCAATGATTTAATCAATCATACCTATATAATGAAGCCTTCATAAACCCCCAAAAGGACAGGGTTTACAGAGCTTCTAGGTTGCTGAATATGTGGAGGTGCTGGGAGGGTGGTGTGATGGAAGCTCCACATCCCTTTCCACATGCCTTGTCCTACACATCTCTTCCATCTGGCTGTTCCTGAGTTGTATCCTTTTATAATCAACTCGTAATCTAGTAAGAAAACTGTTTTCCTGAGTTCTGTGAGCCATCCTAGCAGAAGATCAAACCCAAGGAGAAGGTTGTGGGGACCAGACCACTGAATTATAATTCAGCTGGTTGGTCAGAAGTATAAGCAAAAACCTGGACTTGCAATTAGCATCTTGAATGGGTGCAGTATTGTGGGACTGATACCTTAACTCATGGGATCTGATGCTATCTTCAGGTAGACAGTGTTAGCTGACTTACATTTTTGTACATCCAGTTGGAGTCCACAGAGAATTGGAGAATTGCTTAGTATGGGGAAAAACTCATATAACTGGTGTCAGAAGTTGTATTCGGCCATTTCTGCATTGCTATAAAGGAATACCTGAGATCTGGTAATTTATAAAGAAAATAAGTTTAATTAGCTCATGGTTCTGCAGACTATAGAGAAAGCATCATGCCAGCATCTGCTCAGCTTCTGGTGAGAGCCTCAGGAAATTCATAATCATGATGGTAGGCGAAGTGGGAGTAGACATGTCATATGGCGAGAGGAGCAAGAGAGCAGGGAGAGGTGTCACATACTTTTGTTTATTTATATTTTAAATTTTATTTATTTATTTATTTACTTATTGTGACAGGGTCTGGCTCTATTGCCCAGGCTGGAGTGCAATGGCATGATCTCAGCTCACTGCAACCTCCACCTCCCAGGTTCAAGCCATCCTTCCTCAGCCTCCTGAATAGCTGAGACTACAGGTGCGTGCCACCACACCCAGCTAATTTTTGTATATTTTTTTGTACAGGTGGATTTCTCCATATTGCCAAGGCTGGTCTCAAATTCCTGAGCTCATATGATCAACCTGCCTTGGCCTCCAAAACTGCTGGGATTACAGGCATGAGCTACCATGCCTGGATACATACTTTTAAACAACCAGATCTCATGAAGTGCTCACTCACTAACATAATGAGAGCACCAAGCCATTCATGAGGGATGCATTCCTATGACCCAAATGCCTTCCCTCAGGTGCCACCTCCAACAATGGGGATTACATTTCAATATGAGATTTGGAGGGAACAAAGATCCAAACCATATCATTCCACCCATGACTCCTCAAATTGCATGTCTTTCTCACACTACAATATACAATCATCCCCTACCAATAGTCCCCAAAAGTCTTAACTCATTCCAGCAACAAGTCCAAAGTTCTAAGTCTCTTCTGAGACTTATCTCCTTCCACTTATGAGCCTGTAAAAATCAAAATAAGTCATTTACTCCCAAGATACAATGGTAGTACAGGCATTAGGTAAACATCACAATTCCAAAAGGGAGAAATTAACCAAAAGGAAGAGTCAATAGGCCCCATGCCAAGTCTAAATCCTAGCAGAGCAGTTATTAAATCTTAAAGCTCCAAAATACTCTCCCTTGACTATATGTCCCACATGCAGGGCACAATAGTACAATGAGTAGGCTCCCAAGGCCTTGGGTAGCTCTTCTCCTGTGGCTTTGCAGGCTGCAGCCTCTGTGGCTTATCTCACTGGTTGGAGTTGGGTGTCAGAGGTGCAGGGTGCAAGCTGCCTGTAAATCTACCATTCTGGGGTCTGGAGGGCAGTGGCCCATTTCTTATAGCTCCACTAGGCAGTGCCCCAGTGGGGACTCTGTGTGGGGACCCCAACCCCACATTTCCCCTTGGCATTGCCCTAATAGAGCTTCTCTGTGAGGACTCTGCCCCTATGGCAGTGTTCTGCCTGGGCACCCAGGCTTTCTCACAAATCTAAGTGGGAGCTTCCAAAACTCCTTCACTCTTGCGTTCTATGTGTCGATGACACCACATGGAAGCCACCAATGCTTATGACTTGCATCCTCTGGAAAGGCAGCCTGAGCTGTATCTGGGGTCCTTTGAGCCACAGCTGGAGCTGTGGTAGCCAGGATCCAGCGAGCAGTGTCCTGAGGCTGAGTATGGCAGTGGTACCCAGTGCCTGGCCCCCTAAACCATTCTTTCCTCCTAGGCCTGTGAGCCTGTGATGATAGGGGCTGTCTCCAAGGATTCTGAGGTTGCCTTTTAGGCCTTTTTCCCATTGTCTTGGATATAAGAACCTGGCTCCCTTTTAGTCATGCTAGTTTCTCTAGCAAGTAGTTGCTCCATACCCTGCTGGGATTCTTTCTGTGCCACATGGCCAGCCTGCAAATTTGCTGAACTTTTATGCTCTGCTTCCTTTTTCAATGTAAGTTTCAACTTTAAGTCATTCCTTTGCTCCCATATTTGATCATAGGTTGTTACAAGGAGTCAGGCCACATCTTGAATGCTTTCCTGCTTAGAAATTTCTTCTGCCAGAGACCCTAAATCACCACCCTTAAGTTCAAAATTCCACAGATCCTTGGTACATGAACACAATGCAGGAGTTCTTTGCGAGGGTGTAACATGAGTGACATTTATTCCAGTTCCCAATAATTTCCTCATTTCCAACTGAGACCTTACTAGGCTGGCCTTCACTGTCCATATTTCTATCAGTATTTTGGTCACAACCAATTAACCAGTCTCTAAGAAGTTCCAAACTTTCATTTTTTTTTTTTTTGAGACAGGGTCTTGCTGTGCACCCAGGCTATAGTGTAGTGGCATGATCATGGCTCACTGCAACCTCGACCTCCCAGCTCAAGTGATCTTCCCACCTCAGCCTCCTGGGTAGCTGGTTACTGCAGGTCCATGCCACCATGCCTGGCTAATTTTTTATTTTTTTGTAGAGACAAGGTCTCACTATGTTGCCCAGGCTGGTCTCGAACTCCTGGCCTCAAGCAATCCTCCTGCCTCAGCCTCTTAAGCGCTGGGATTACAGTTGAGGGCCACTGCTCCTGGTCCTCCGGTCTTCTTCTGAGCCCTCCAAACTCTTCCATTCTCTGCCTAGTACCCAGTTCCAAAGTTGCTTCCACATTTTCAGGTATCTTTATAACAATGCCTCACTCCTCAGTACCAATTTTCTGTGTCAAGCTGTCTTTGCACTGCTATAAAGAAATACCTAAGACTGGGTGATTTATAAAGAAAAGAGGTTTAATTGGCTTACAGGTATGCAGACTATACAGGAAGCATGGTATCAGCATCTGCTCAGCTTCTGGTGAGGGCCTCAGGAAGCTAACAATCATGGTGGTAGGTGAAATGGGAGCAGACATGTCACGTGGTGAGTTGGAGCAAGAGAGAGTGGAGAGGTACCACACACTTTAAACTTCTAGATCATGCAATCACTCATTATCAGAACTGAGCCATTTATGAGGGACCCATCCCCATGATGAAAACACCTCCCCCAAGCCCCACCTCCAATGATGGGGATTACATTCCAGCATGAGATTTGGAGAGGAGAATCATCCAAACTAGATCAGAAGTAAAGTATTAAGAGTGGTATGAGTATAGAAAGAAGAAACAGGTTTGTTTGTTTTTTACCCCCCAACAGTTCTCTAGCACTAGCAGATGGATAAAAGGGTAGACAACAGATGAGACAGGAGCTTCAGGAGTGTTCCTGCAAATTCTCCACTTTGATGCTGCAAGAGGTGGCTTCTCTGTGATTTCTGAACTTCTGGATTTATTGAAAGCCAGCAGCAGTCCTTTCTGACTCTTCTCTCCCCTGGTCCCTTCAAACTGTTTTGTAAGCTCTTATTCCCTGTGTTAAATCTCTTCTTGTTTGAAATACCTAGAGTAGATTCTGCTCTCCTGACTGACCCCTGACTAAACAACGAAGTTTAGTAAAGTGGTAGGGACTCAATAATAGCTAGCTATTACTCAGGTCTATGGGAATAGGAAAAGTGAGAAGCGTGTCTATTTACTTTCTTACCTCATCATATTTTCTTTTCTCATTTTCCAGTTGTGAAAGTAGGGCCTCTTGTTGCTGAATTCTGGATTGTTGCTGAGAACAGGTCATTTCCAGGAGACTTTCTTTATCTTTTAAGGTTCTCACTTGCCTGTGTAACTCATCTACATTCTGATATAGGAGTTTCCTAAGGGCAATTAACGTACATTAAATCACACTATGAATTGCAAATGAAACTTAGACCTAAAAATTGTATGGCATCAAAAGGGATTTCTTTTTTTTTTTTTTTTTTTTTTTTTTTT